AATACGTGGGCGTTATGAGTAGCAGCTGTGCTTGTTTGGAGGGACAGACTCCGACAGAGATAAGTTGATTATGGCCCTCAGCCCTCCCACACAATTGGGGTTTCTGCAACTGCTACCTTAAGCAAGACTTTAAAACTTTAAATGCAATAGCTAATTAGTTTTCAAACCAATTTCATGACAAAATCTGTTTACTACTTTAGCCTAAGCAGAGAGCCATAGCTTAGATTGTGACTTGTTAACTAAAGTGCTACAATTGGTTACAGGCAGTCAATATTACCTTTGCTGCTTTTCTTAGTGGAGTCAATTTTTAGCCCTATATAGAGAAAAGTACAAATAAATTTGCTGTTTAGATTTTCACTTACCCGTACTTTTAGCATTCTTTTCTCCCGTTTTGCCGGTATCTCCTTGTCCTAATTTCCCTAAAGATAGAGTGTAGATTAGGAAATATTATGATAATTTTAAAATGGCTCAGCTGCTGCATGTAGTATCAGTATTCAATTACAATGTTACAGTACCTACACTTTTTGCCATTGCATGTGGCGCAAGATGGTAACTAATATGCTTGGTTCAATAATGTTGTATCAATAATGTTGTTATAATGAGAATAATGATGTGGTCTTTGTTATACACTTACTTATATATTCAGCTTGAGCTTTACAGCCATTCATTTTGTCAAGAGCATCAGCCAGTGTCTCCAAAGATGGTTTACCAACTTTATCAACATTATCAGCTCTTCTCAGCCACTCTTCAAGGCATTCAGTAAAACAACTATCAACGTCACTTCTTTTATTTGAATCAATTATAGCTAGTGTATTTGGATAGAGGCCAAGTTTCCTTCCTAAATCCTTCCATTTAGTTTTGTCAAAACGTGCCTCCTTTAAAGAGTCTATCACATCAACCAACTCATCAATGGTCAGTACTAAAACATGAAGAAATAATAAGTTTAGTACAAAGTTATACAACATGCAAAGCAAGTGGCAGATCTACATAATTTAATTTGTTGCTGTCATGAGTACAGCAGTATTAATAATACAAAAAGCATCACATGAGTAGAATTATACAACCATCAACTATCTACATATAGTCAAGCACTTACTTTTTGACATGTTAGTCAGTTATAAGAAGAACAATCAAAGGTTGGAATGAAGCTCTGTTACTGAACACTGTCAACAACTTCTCAAGTGGGCAGATACTCACTACTGGTATAATTATCCCTTGCTATCTGATTGCTATCAAAACTTCCTGTATAACTTACCAAAGAGTTCAGTAGTATATGATTTACTCATTCACCTTTCCATTTCTTGTGTACTGGAACAAACCTTATACTGCCCTTCCCCTATCCTGTTGTTACTTGAAATGATAGCAATTATTTACTAGCTCCTGGCACCTCTGCCAAAAGAATATGCCAATCATTTCAACTCATAATAATTACTCAAAATTGTACTATGCTATTATCATTATTAAAGTGTAATATTGTAAAGGGCTTTTAGTTTCTTAGGTATTCTTTCAGCAGCTGCACTGTCTCCTGTTCCCTCCACAGCATCTATCAAAGTCTGCCATGTTCTACTAGTTACATTATCTTCTCCCTTCAGCCATGCTTCTATAGTCCTCCTCAAGTGTCTGTATGCGTCATCACCTCCTTCTCCAATGACATTAAGTCTTGGCAGATATCATTG